GAGTCATTATTCTTCGTGAGATCGACACCCCGATCTCGTTTGTCCACTTTATAGTTGTACGCGACTCCTATGCTTGCGGTGTACATGTTTTAATAAACAACATGCCAACGCAATTTTTATAAATTTTGTGGCAAAAATTTAAGCACATCAAAGTTCGATAAGCAATCAAAAAAAAAATTCGCAAATTTAAAAAAAAGTTCACATCGTTTTTGTTGCACTAAAAATCTGCAAGTGTATGATATTGTAAACAAGTAATAAAGTGAATGTGAGTTTGAATATCGTTCTCAAGATGACTAACATTTAACCTAGTTTCAATTAAATATAAATTTAATCGAATATCAAGATTGGTTGAGATGTTTTATATTAACGAATTAAATGAACAAAACTAGGAATTCAAATCCTCGTACATTCATCCATTTAATATTTTTCCAAACCTTAGATAATGCTTTCAGACTTGAAAATCAATTTTCCTAATTTATTTAATAACCTCTCTCGACTAGAATTAAACATGTAGTCACATATGATCATCTTATATATCTATGAATTATATGAACATAGAAATATGCATTAAATCAAATGGACATTGAAAAAAAAATCACGCAAAGCACAATGTTATATATTTATCCCTATCGAACTTTACAATACTTGTTACTAAGTGCAATAATTCTTATTCATTCTCACAAATGTTAAGAGAATTCACAACTTAATTCAACTGGCGATTAATTGAAATTTTTCAAGCTTTCTAGTGTTTGCCCCCTGCACTAGGTATTGTAATTTCCTGCTTTCATCTATTGTAATGTTCAGCTTTCAAGCAATCAATGATCAAGTTTATTTCAATGCATTTCAATTTCATGTTGTGAGCTTTCTTTAAATTGTGATCAAATTTACTTTCATCCCTGAACGACCGAGAAAAGGCGGAAGGTAGTCTAGCGGAGCAGACTATTACCGCACGGTGTCCCTTTCTGTGCTAAGAAGAAAGGTAACCCGTGAAACCTTGACTTGACATAGAGGCCCCCCTCAAATTCATGTCAAGCCCAGCAGATGCAGATCAGTTATCAATTTCATCTCGATTTCCCATGCGGAATCACATTTTATTTATTTTTATTTTTGCAAATTTTAAAAAAAAATCATATCGTTTTTGTTGCACTAAAAATCTGCGAGTATATGATATTGTAAACAAGTAATAAAGTGAATGTGAGTTTATGTATCGTTCTCAAGAAGACTAACATTTAACCTAGTTTCAATTAAATATAAATTTAATCGAATATCAAGATTGGTTGAGATGTTTTATATTAACGAATTAAATGAACAAAACTAGGAATTCAAATCCATTTAATATTGATCCAAACCTTAGATAACGCTTATTCGGACTTGAAAATCAATTTTCCTAATTTATTTAATGACCTCTCTCGACTAGAATTAAACATGTACTCACATATGATCCTCTTATATATCTATGAATTATATGAACATAGAATATGCATTAAATCAAATGGACATTGAAAAAAAATCACGCAAAGCACAATGTTATATATTTATCCCTATCGAACTTTACAATACTTGTTACTAAGTGCAATAATTCTTATTCATTCTCTCAAATGTTAAGAGAATTCACAAAAATTAAGTTGACCGCTAATTAACTTAAGACATTAAACTCCTAAGAATCGTTCAAAACAAAACATATATATAGCCATGTTTTATGGGAATTAAAATCTTGATTTTAAACTAAATCGAAGTCAATAATTAACTTTAATATATTTTATGAGACCCATAATTTTTCAATCACATATTTTATCATTTTTTTTTTTTATCAAAATCTGATTTAAATCCCCACAAAATATAGACTTAATATCAAAATTTGAAACTTAATATCAAAACATAATGTTCAACATTATCCTAAAATCTATATCATCAGTCAAGCATCATAATATATTTATGAAAATACAAATTGGATTGATACTATATCCTCCAGCATTAAAGAGTAGAAAGATGATATAATTGAATCGTTGAATCTCTTCAATGGTTTCTTAATTACAAAAATGCTACTTGTACATCAAGAATTGTACATAATGATGTACATCACACTCACATGGGGATGGGACCCACGTGTATAAAATATTTTTTTATTCGAGCGGGTCCCACCCCCCATGTAAGTGTGATGTACACGCCTATGTACACCTTGATGTACCGGTAGCAAAACCGAATTAATTAATATCCTTAATTCTTCTTTTTCAACCCAAGCAATAGACGTATGAAAGTATGTGTGGATGTGTTTGTAACAAAAGCTTCTGTAAAGCTTGAAAGAATGTTCCTTCTTTAATCCATAACTTCTCCTAGGCTTTTCCTTTGTGAGATATGTCATTGTATCCCATTAACCTCCTTTTTATTTGTTGATGAATATATGTATTTATAGCTCGAAACTAGGTCGAACTCATGGTCAAATTACTTTCCAAGAAGATCCAATCGAATAATAAGCAAAGACCACTGTGATTGAACAATACAGCGTTGGGGCTTGCAGGAACAAATTTTCATCTTGTTAATGTTGGTCCTTGATTTCCCCATTTTGTTCAACTCGAGTCCCTTCTTCATTTGTATGTGTGTCTTTCATCTAATGTTTTAAAAATCGACCAGACCACTGATTCAGAAAATGGAAAGGTCAATGATCAAAATGTTAAATCGAGATCAAACTAGCGATTTTTAAAAAATTAAAAGGATATACATTTACATAGGTAGAACCGGTTAAATTGGGGACGGATCACGAATTTTCCAAAAATCGACTAGTTTAATGAGTTTTGTGGCAGCCATTCAATTACAGGTTTCATAAGCCTAACCAAACTGGTTTTGGTCCTGATTGAGCCGGCTGGGCCGGATTTTAATACACTTATTTACACTAAAGTTTTTGTTACATCCGTAATTGTCCGTAATTGATTTGTTGCAATTTAAAAAATTCACAATTGAACTCTCAAACTTTTCAAATGTTGAATTTAGATCTCGAAACTTGTGAATTTATTCCATTTGCTCTCTTATTTCTCCTAATTGATCATGTGCAATTTGAATAATCTGCAATTACCGTGAATCAACTCCAATTAAACTCAAACTGTTCTTCTTTGTGCTAATTACTCCGCATTTTTGTTTCACTAATTCTTCGTCATCATACATATTTTTGTTTTCCAACTGAGGAGAATTTCCATGTAATGTTTGTTCTAATTGTGGAAAACGATCCATATTTGGTTCACATGCAATACAAAGTCGGCGTTAACGCAACCAATCGCGGCTTTCAATTATTCATTATCATGTTAGGTTTATTTAGTTGGTGGACCAATCTTGTTGTCACGATAGGGACTGATCCGATCACTTTTGTTTATACATATTCTTTATCATCACATTTTTGCCATTATGATTGAATCCAAGTATGTACCAACACCCAATCGAACAAGATTTAACAATAGAAATATATGAAAATTTTAGATTTTATCTTATTTAGTTTCAATAAATATTAGGCATGAGCATTTTTACTCGAAATCATCCGACTTTGACCTAATCGAACCACGGCTGATCTAAGTTCTAGTTAAAATTGATTCGATTCTCAATCTTATAACCAATATCTGAAAGGTTTCAAACCCTTTTATATCTTTTTGTTAGATTGAATAAGATTTTAATTTATATGAGATTGAGCAACTTGATATGAGTTATATCGTTTTAAAATTTATTAACTTAAAAATTCAAGTCGAAAATAATTTCAAAGTAAAAAATAATAGAATTTGAATAAAAGTTTTAACTTTAAAATGATGTTAGATGTGACCAAACAAATAACTACAACTTGAGCATACTACTCTTGTGTGTGCTTATATTGAGCACTTGTTTGGTTAGATTTTAATCCCTACCAAGCAGAGGTTAAATTTTAATTTAAATCAAATTATAAACACATATTTCATCAATTTTGATCAAAATCTATTAAAAAATTAATTTTAATACACAGCTAATCGGGGCTAAGTAGCATTGGACACCTTAGATCCATCCACCATGTTTGGCCAAATACTTGTGAGACTTAGTTCCTCGTAATCATCTTCAAAACCTGTGAAGGCTATCAAGCTATTTTATAGAGTAACTAATTCAGTTCGTCACTATCTTGATTGATACTTTCAAGAGACATTATAAATAGTATTAAATATTTTTTTTATTGCAAGAGGCATAATAATTAAGGAAAAAAGTACAAGGATTAAAAAATATATTTCTTTTCTCATTTGTAGTGATTCAAAAAATAATAAATAAATGAAATAAAAAACTAACTACACACAAAATCTAACGCCAAAATTCCAATCTAATAATCCCATGTGAAAGTGTTTCTTTTCGGCCGGCCGGCCGGCCCAGACTACTCCCATTTTTGTCGCATCGAGAGTGGCATGATTAGTAATAACTAGCTAATATCAAGGGTAACATGGTCATATAATTAATTCCCTCTACACCCAAAGGTTTAAATGCAAGCTGTGAATGATAGCGACTGCACCAATCATCAAAGTGATTTCATTGCGTTCAATTTCCCCAAATCGGCCCACAAATTCTTATAGAAATGAAAAGGGATTGATTTATTATTATTATTTTTCTAGAAAGAGGAAAGACGAGGGCAATAAAGCGGAATTACCGATTGAAGTGGCGCAAGAAGGGGTCTCTGTAAATAAATATAGAGCTAATTGGGAAATAGCTGAGTGTTTATTTACTCACTGTTATGGAAAGTTTTGTTTACGAGTAGATCTATGAGTGTGGGGGTGGAGCTGAATAGATATTGTTAATCTGGGATTAAGGATTCTTGGTTTTCTCTTCCCTCTTATCAATTATTGTTACTATGGTCTCTGTTTCTTTTCTTGATTTTTTGGATGTGTTGTAATTTTTATTTAAGAATGATGTAGATTGAATTAGGATAATTGATTTTAGTTCATTGTGGGTATTGTCTCTGAATATTCTCGTTTCTGAGGATCATTATTTAGTGGGGTTAAAAGAGGATGGGTTGCTTTTCTTGCATGTGGCCTCGACGTAAGGATGTCAGAGATTATGAAGAAGACATGACCCCTCGATACACTGATTCTTCAGGTTCTTTATTGTTCTCTGTGAATTTATGTGTACTGGATTAATTGGTAAATGAAATGGTTTAGTACAATGTGCTTATATTCTCTTGGTTTAACCAATTGCTACTGTTGAGATGATAAGTACATGTGAAATATTGAAATATGATGATATTCTTATGTGGGATATTAATTTATGCTGAGTCAAATTTTGTAGGGGGTAAGAAAAAGGGAAATTCTGCGAGAACAAAAGGTAAAGACGGAAATGTAGCCCGCAGCTTCCAGTTCAAGGAGCTTGCGATGGCGACACAGAATTTTAGAGATGCTAATTTGATTGGGGAAGGTGGTTTTGGAAGCGTTTACAAGGGCCGTCTGGACTCTGGCCTGGCAAGTTCTCTGTTTTCTCACTCTATTTGGATTTTATTAATATATCCTTCAAAATGATGAATTATTCTTTTTAGTAATAAGAAAATGCTAAAAGAGTTTTGGTCCTAATACGGATGATGTATTGAATTTGGGAGTTCAATTGAGGGATGTTTGTAATTTTGCATTGATGTTATTAACACGTCAAGTAATGCTGGTTGTTTGGTTTTCATGAATAGATTGTTGCTGTCAAGCAACTTAATCATGAAGGCCTTCAGGGGAATCAAGAGTTCATTGTGGAGGTTCTAATGTTAAGTCTGCTGCATCATACCAATCTTGTGAACTTAATCGGGTATTGTGCAGATGGTGACCAGAGACTCTTGGTTTATGAATACATGCCTATGGGTAGCCTGGAGAATCATCTTTTTGGTAATTTTTTATGATAATATATCCTTTTTAAGAGTCTGAATTCTCTTCTGTTTTTCTTTTAACCAAAAAGAAAATAAAATTTTGGCTACTATGCTGCGGTGCTGTTCTCTAAAAGAAAATAAACTTGGATTAAAAGGAAAGGTAGCTTTCCCACCCCACTAATTCTTATTAAGGCCTTAAGGGCATTGAACATTCATAAATGTATCCATCGGAAACAGTTGGTAATCCCTCATTCTAATGGCAATTAGTCCAAAGTCCCGCTTCACTATAGCAATCCATGATGTCCTTTCTTCCTTATCTCCACAACCGAAAGAGTTCACAGTCCATGAATTCTCTTTGCGGTTTTGCACTCTTGTCATTCAATATTCCTATAATCTTTCCCCCAATCCGGTGATTGAACTTGATTATGAGTCTTAACACAAGAAAAATGATGATGACTGTACGTCATTACTTTAATCTCTTCTTAATCCATCTTAGTGTCCTGCTTTCCAATTTTATCTGTCCTTTTTTTGGGGGATGGGGGTAAATTGACCGTTCATTTTCTAATTTTTGTTTTTTCCTTGTCTGACGTGCAACTTACTCTCTACATTTGAATATGTGCACCCCTTTACTGCTTAATGTGGCCTTAACATGTCAGAGGACTAAAAAGCATTTAATAATCTCGTTTGGAGGATTAACTATGTGGCTTTTCATCCAAGGTGCCCTTTGAGTCACTGTTTTGAATTTTGGGCTTAGTATAACAAATCATGATTCTGAATGATTTACGTTGTTCTTTTATTTTATATTTTTCTATCAGAAAGTTTGGCTGCAGTAGGGAAGCCTATAAAAGCATCAAACACCAAATTGTGAATTAAGAAAATACATTTAGCACAGCTTCTTCTTCTTCTTGTTTTTTTTTTTTAACTGACTTATCTTCTAGATGTGCTTTATCTCAGCTATTCAGCTATATGTTTATTGAAGTGTGTGTTTCATTTCATTCTCAGATATCAAGTCTGGTCAGGAGCCACTTAGTTGGAGCATAAGGCTGAAGATTGCTGTTGGTGCAGCTCGTGGCCTTGAATATCTTCATTGCAAAGCAAATCCCCCTGTCATTTATCGTGATTTGAAATCTTCAAACATATTGTTAGATAATGACTTCAATGTCAAGCTGTCAGATTTTGGTCTCGCCAAACTGGGACCTGTTGGTGATAACACTCATGTTTCAACACGAGTGATGGGAACCTATGGATATTGTGCCCCAGAATATGCTATGAGTGGGAAACTGACTCTAAAATCTGACATCTATAGCTTTGGTGTGGTTATGTTGGAGCTGATTACCGGACGTAGGGCTATTGACACCACTAAGAAGCCAGGAGAGCAGAACCTGGTTGCATGGGTGAGTTTCTATAACTTCTAGTTCATGATAACTCCATATGAAGTCAAATAGCTATAATGAGTCGGATATAAGTAACCTGTGCCAATTTATCTGTTATGCATGCTACTCTCATCCCTCCAAAGGGATGAAGTTATAAAAGTGAAATATCTTTCTTGTAAACCCATACCAGATGAATATAACCTTGAGTAAATTGTAAGGGATCACTGGTGGACCTGTAACAGATGAATTTTACATTGTAGTGTAACCGTAGTACCCAACTGTTGGATTATTTTCTTAGCACAAGAGGCCTTTTTATAAAATGGTTTCCATCGAAAATAGTTATTCTATTTAGTGAAAATAAAATTTTTACCCTATCGTTCAAACAACTAAAATAAATTAAAACAAAAAAGGAATAGAAAAAGAATTATGGGAAAAAAATAATAATAATAATAACAACTTGCACCACCCCATCATCACCCTCATATCTCCCACCTACCATCCCTTCCCACATATCCACCATCATCTTCTTCATCCTGCCTTTGTCAACAAAGGCAGCCATGTTCAGAGCTAGCGAACAAGAGTGTAAAAAGGCCTCAATGGATCCTTATTTTTCATTCTCACAAATCCAGTTTTCAAAGTCCTTTCGCCGCAGGGGAACCCCTGCGCCGTAGATGATTCATACTCGTACGCCTTTGAGAAATGGAGGATTATGGTGTTTTCAATTACATATACAGGTTAGTAGAGACACCTTATTGCTGTTTATCAAAGCTAAGCTAAAATGTTTGATTGGAAGAGTTGTTAACTAAACTGCTTTCTACGGCAGTTATTTGGGATTTGGGAGCAGTAAGCCAAGCAAATAGCAGAGAACACAGTCACACTTATTGGCTAGCAAAAGAAGCTAACCCAGGAATGTGAGATACCTGTGTCTCTGTCGTTTGTATTTCCGGATTAGTCCAACTTGGGAAACAATTTTTTTTTTTTTGATAACCATGGATGCTCGGATCAGTTTTCGTGCACCTTGACTAATTCCATTGCGCCTTGAAGTTTACGGTCAGGTACTCACTTCAGTGGTCCTGAGAGGACTCGAACTGGTGACCATTAGAGAGCAAACCCAAGATCTGACCAATTGAGCAACCAACTTGGGAAACAATTTTAATCTAAGAAACATTCAGGGCCAGGGATGGGGTAGGATGAAGTAGTGTGGATGGGGGATGACAAAGGGTGTGGGGAGGGGTCAATGGTGGTTGGGGTAGTTTTTCTTTTTCATTTGACTTGTATTTTCTTTCTTCTTTTACTTTTTGAATTTATATTTTGTTTTTTTAAACGGGAGGGTTAAATTGTCTTTGCAATCAATTAACTACTGTTTTGGATGAAATCCATCCTAGGCAAATGTGCTCAAATGTAGGTGGGGACTCCAATGTCAACTATCCTTAAACTGGAGTACTGTCTTCTCATATTTTTACATGAGATTGTTTTCAGTTTTTGTTAGGAATGAAATGGACTTCAAGACCAGAATTTATTTTTTGTCCAATGGGTTGAGGCATAGTTCAATCTTTTTTCAAAAGATAGCTAAATAGACTCATGCTACACTTATATAGTTCTATTAGCAATCTGCGATTTCAGTATATGGTGTATAGGAAATAAAATTTCTAGGAGTAAGTTTGTCGTAGTTTGAATAGTTACAGGCATTATTAACCCACCCCAACTCCCCCATGTAAACTTTGGAGGTAAGGCCATCATGCCCCTCCATCGTACTCATTTTCCCAATATATCTACTAGGTAGGGGATAACGCTGAATCCCCACTATCTTAAGGAGACCTGAAAGTCCCTTCTTAGGACTCTGATTTAAATGTAATTTTTTTTCTTCTGAATATTTTTAATCTCCTTGCAGTCTCGTCCTTTTCTTAAGGACCGGAGGATGTTTGTCCAAATAGTGGACCCTCTATTAGAAGGTTGCTTTTCAGTCCGAAGTCTGCAACATGCAGTTGCAATTACAGCAATGTGTCTGCAGGAACAAGCAAATTTCCGCCCTCTCATCAGTGATATTGTTATGGCACTTGAATACCTAGCTTCTCAAGCAGATAGCTCAGATTCTCATAAAGGCGGATATCATGCTCGAACATCGTCATCACCATCTCAGATTGAGGGTAACCTAGATAGTAGAAAATGAGCTCTGTAAAGTGCTCAACTTCAAAGTTTTCATATCAAGCAGCACGACTTACGACTGTCAGTGGGGGTGCATTTTAACCAAAAGGATGTAAGAAGTCACTAATCAAACCTTGTGCATATCAATTTATCGAGCACGTGAGAACGACGAGAAGAGGTGGTAACGTGTCATCCATTTTCCGTTTATTGCTATTCAAAAGTTGCTCAAAATTGTATATCATCGTTTGTAGCTACACGACTGTAAATATTTGTTAAACTGTTTGAGGGGTAACCAATCATTTAAATCTTTTGAAGTTGTGCTATCAGTTTTTTGGGATAATTTGTTTTTCCTTGGGAAGAAAGTCTTAGATAATCCATTGGTCCACTAATTTGTACAATAGCCAGAAGGTTTCTGTGCTTAATCTTTGTTTTATCATTGTGATTAAATCTTTTGCTGACTTGGCTTTGCATATGGAGGATGATGTGAGGAAATACCTGCAAATGACTCAAAGAAAAGGTCATATCAAAATTCATCTTTGGTCTTTGACCAGTAAATAAGTTTTAACAAAAAAAAAAAAAAAAAAACTTAAAATATAACTGTGGACAATTAAATACCAAAAACACCTTCCACTCTCTCTCATTTCACAAGAAAACCAACCCTCCATTTTTTTTATTATTAATTGGGCTAACAGCCGGCCCCACCTTTAAATTAAGTAAACAATCTATATTTATTTAATTACATTTGAAACATGTAAGATTAGTTTACAAATTATATTTAATTAAAAATTTTTAAATTAATTAAAATATTGAAAGGAAAAAAAAATAAGAATTTGCTATCGCGTTAAAAAATAATATTTCTTTTTCGTAATTATCAATTTAAAATTATTTATTTCAATTTTTATATCAAAATTGAAACAAAAGGAGTTTTTTTAAAATTAAGTAAACAATCTATATTTATTTAATTACATTTGAAAAATGAAAGATTAGTTTACAAATTATATTTAATTAAAGAATTTTAAATTAATTAAAATATTGAAAGGAAAAAATAGTTGAATTTGCTAACACGTTAAAAAATAATATTTCATTTTCATAATTATCAATTTAAAATTATTTATTTCAATTTTTATACAAAAATTAAAACGAAAGGAATTTTTTAAATTAAGTAAACAATATATATTATTTTTTAACATGTTAGCAATTTTTTTTTTCCTTTTAATATTTTCATTAGCAAATTTCTACCTTTCGCGTTGTCCTTCATTACTAAAGTGATGCAAATCAGTGTTATTTGTGTTTTGCTCAACTTAAACAAATAATTCATTTCAATATCAGACGTAACCTTCATATGTAGAAATGAAAATGACAAATGTTCTTTGAATTGAATTCTCAGTACCATATCTTATTGAGATGAATCAACGTTTAGCTTGTTCTATATATCAAGGTGCTCAAAAGTTGTGTCGAAACTCACGATGAAGATTCGAGAATGTTAGGGGTCAAATGGATACAACTAAAGATCAAAACGAGTGAAAACAAATTAATTTTCCACCGCACAAAAATGTCCAAATTTTTAGTTGGAGATTGAAATCCATTTTTGGCCCAGTACACGTTTGAATTGAAAAAGAGCTACTTCTAGTAAAGTTGTAACTCTTTGAGTTATCTTTCCAACGCATTTTAAATCGCCTTAATTGGATATCGGAGACAAAAGTTATGATAAAAATACTCAAACAGCCTCAACTTAACAACTGACTTTTTCAGCTATTAACAGCCAAAAATTCTGCTGTTAACAGCCGAAAACAATTGATTTTTTCTGCCATTAACAGCCGAATTTTCAGTTGTTTGTGCTGATTGTTTTTTTCGTAACAGTAGTTTTATTTGTTAACTAAAAGGGTAGTATTGTCTTTTTAACACAAACATGTTTTGTAATTGTTTTAGTCACTTAAAGGCGTTTTTGTCTTTTTACAACAAACGGGTCATTTTGGAAATACTGTTAAGTGAAAAAGTCAAATGAAATTATGGGGCTTTGACTAGGGTATTTTTAAAAGTACCCTAAAGAAAATATTGTATTGACAACGGACACGGGAGTCACTAAAAGTTGGACGGAAAATGCAACCGAACGCCGTACGTTCAAACACTATTTCGCTCGTCTGGTGCGCTTATTTTGGGATTTTTAGCAACTTTTGGCTCGTTGTACATTGCAAGCGGGCAATATTGCAATTTTTGTTTAAAACAAAAAAAAAAAGGCAACCGTCTTATTTTTAATTTGAATTATCAAAAATCCCTGCTCAAGAGGATTGAATGCAAAAATAAAGGGGTAAATAGGTCATTTTTCAGTTCATTTTAGTTGTGGGGCAAGGAAGCAGTAAATAATTGCTGCTGGTATGGGACCCCGTTTGCCCTGTATAATATCCAAAAATTGCTAAAAATCCTAGAAGAAACGCGATTTGACCGGAGCTTAAAATATTATTAATTTATTTTAATAAATAATAATTTTAATGAAGCTATTTCATATTAATTCGAACATGAACTATTGAAACAGGCCCTTAGGGATTCAAATTTTAATGATAAATAAGTTTAATAGAAGCTATTTCATATTACTTTGAACTCGAACTACTAAAACAATTAAAGATTGCTTGTTTATTTTTGGACATTTTTCTAATTTGTTGTAACGATTAATACTGCAATTTCAAATGAAAAGATGAATTCAACAAAATATTCATCACAATTTCCATCCATAATTGTTTTGGCACTGTTCAATTTTTTTCAATCGATGGCTATGTGAATCTTGTCAGGTGGTGGATTTGAGGTGAAAATGGTGGTTGGACAATGTGTTGGTTGTGGTGGTGGTGATGACGACAGCAGTGGCGGCTTGAGGGAAAGGTGGTGGTGGTGAGTTGATGGATTTTATGTGGCAACAATGATTTTGGATTGTCTGTGGTGGTGGTGGTGGTGGTGGTGAGGTGATAATAATGTTTTTTGGTGGTGGTAGGATAGAATGGATGGGATGAAGAGCAATTGTGACTAGTTATTGAATAATTATGACTAATAAGACAAGTAATGTGTCACAAATAAATAATATGTGATCTAAAAAAATATATGATTTATGAACGAATTTATAATTGTGACCTACAATTTGTATTTTTGTGACCGATAGATAAATTATGATAAATTAATTCGATAATTTGTGATCAATAAATATATTGTAACCAATTAATTTGATAATTTTTTATCGATAAGTTTGATAAATTCATTTGATAATTTGTGGTCGATAAAAAATTTGTAACCTATAAAACCTTGTAATTTACCACCAAATTCATAACCGCGACTTTTTGTGACTAGTAATGCATTAACTGTGACTCTTTGTGATCATGTTTGTGTTAACTTTGACTCTATATGATCAAGTCTGTGTTAACTGTGACTGTTTGTGATATATAATATGTTGAATGTGACATGTGACTACTATCACAAATATCATTGTAGGTTACAATTATGTATTTGTCACAATTTGTTTCTCAGTCATAAATTATCAAATTAATTGGCCTATCATTAATTATCGATCACAAATTACAATTTATTTTACGGTCACAAATTATCAAATTATTTTGTCACAACTTATTTCATGATCACAAATTATCAAATTAATTGGTTATAACTTATTTATCGATTACAAAACAAATTATAAGTCACAATTATAAATTTAGTCACGAATCAAAAATTTTTAGATCACATATTAGAGATTTAATATTTAGTTTGGCAAAGTTAAAAGGAATATTAAATATAGTAATGAGTTTTCGATTCACAAGAAAAATCAAATCAAGGAATTCCTTCCATGAATCAACTGTAATTTCTCCGATGTAATGAAAAGTATAGACGTGTTCTTAACTTGCCCAATGTCAAATTACCTCCAAGCTACTCTTCAAACAATTCATCCTTTTAAATTCTGGCAAATTTCCCCTGAATTCCAGGCACGAATTTCTCAATCAAAATTCAAATTCTATACTCGCAGTGGTAGTTGAAGTTGTAAGCAATGCAGAGTTTCAGTATCAGGATGTAATCCTTCCAACATTGGGTTTACAACAGGTAAATATGCAATAAGGCTCGATTTGTATATTTGGCCCTGTTAGGATTGGTACCACTTGTTGTGACACCAATCATTGGATTGAGACGTTAAAGTTGCATGGCAAAGTAATAAAGTATTTGATCAAGAACAAAAAAATAAAAGAAGACAAGAATATGGCTGAAAAATTAGGAGATTTTATTGCATCAAGAGTAATGGAGAAGAGAGAAAAATATTACAATAACCCTAAAAAGCTAGTAATCATAAATCTCNAGAAGAGAGAAAAATATTACAATAACCCTAAAAAGCTAGTAATCATAAATCTCACATCATAATTGTTACAAAAATTGTATAGAAGAACCTAGTATTTATAGGGGACATCCAAGACTTTTTGGTAGAGTTGTTGATGAAGTAGGATGTCAAAAACTGAATCCAAAACGAAGTAGGAGAAGAAAAAATGCGAAAAACACACAATCGATCCAGGCGCCTAGGCGCCCGAGTTCTGCCCTATAATTTTAATGTGGAGGCTTGGCGCCATTTCCTTGGCGCCTGTCATTCGGGTTAATGCTCCAAAAAATGTCTTTTGCCATCCAAAAGTCCTCCTTCAAGTTAAATTCCTAATTATCATTGAAATTTGATTTTCATAACTTGATATAGGACTCCAGTAGCATTTCAAACTTGAATTTTTCATAACGTGCACTTCAATTAGAATTCTTCAATTACTTCAAATACTTCAACAAATGAATTCGGGTCATACCCAAATTCCAACAATCTCCACCTTGACACGAATTCCACCAAGGAATGAACTGACTTCTTCAACAATAATTAAAACTTAATTTCTCCAACAAAATACAAAATACTCCACCTCTTCCAATGAATCTAAGCACTACTCTGCAGAATTACCTTAGATTCCAAAAAATCACAATGATTTTGAATTAACCAAAATGGACTGTAACACACCCCAAAGTAGAATC